CCTACATAAGACATTGTCGTGGGCTCTAGGCCTCCAGGTGAACTCGTGGGAGGCACTGTGATGAGTTCTAGGCCTTTGGCTGGACTCATCAGGACATTTCTGTGAGGTCCAGGCATTCAGCTAGATTTCTTGGTCTATAGTATGTGGATGGATTTCCTGCACTCTTTCATGTGTTATTCTTTGGGTGACTATTATAAATAATCATATGAAATGTGTGTTCTGTATTATATTGTTTCATCTTGCAAAAATATCCCCCAAACCATAAGAGTTCCCTTGTGTGAGCTGGGACAAGGCGGGATGTGTGAGCCATGCTCCACGCTGTCAGCTGACATCGAGCCTCGAGATAGAGGCTATGACTTCCCAGGACTTAAAAGATTACACATCAGAGCTGAAGCACCGACCCCAGAACATTAGATACTATATCAATTGTGTTATCCGGATTACTCTTTCTGCATATCTTTCTCTCTGCATGTGCAGAGGTGACTTCAGGCCTCCTACCCGGTCCAACTCACAGCACTTACCTACTTCCTTCCCACGGTTCTCACAGTCACTCATCCTCAAGCCACTCCCTTCTTCTTCATGAATGAATACACCTGGGCTCGGCCCTGGGTCGAGGCCTTTGCTCCAGACAGCTGTCATCGAGGCTGGACTTGGGGCCCCTTGGCCTCCCACAACTGCAAATATGCCTTAGTGTCCTTATTCTCACCACGGGTTGCACTCGGAGTGGTAGATTGGAATTGACTAGCTAGAATCCCAGTAACTTTTCCATGGGATCACGAGTATAAACTTCCTGGGCCGCGGTGAGGACCGGGAAGGGCTCTCTATACTGGCCCAGACGCGCAGGCCGGGCTGGGAAACCAGGGGGCGGCAGCAGAGCTCTCTGGGGAGAAGGGCACTGTGCTCTGGGGAGGTGCTGCAATCCTGCCGCCGGCCTCTCTGGCTGGCCCCGCGCTCCCACAGCAGAGGCTGCTGGGTCCCAGCCCACTGTCCTCGCAGGGGACAGTCTCCAGGGCCGCAGCCTCCCTGCTATACACAGGAGGCGTCAGCTTGGTGGGCAGAGGGGTGGGCAGGCCAGGCGCTAGAGAGAAGTGGGGGGCACAGCTCTTCCAGGAGAGAAAGAGATGAAGCAGGGTCCATGGGGGCCTGGGGGTCACTGTCATGTGACTCAGCCTTTCTGGACCCCATGGGGCCCGGGAAACGCACGGGGCTGGCAGAGAATCAGAGACGCCGGTGACGAAAGGGGTCGAGTGCAGGTCTGGTCTCTGTTGGAGGAGAGGGGAGCACGTTCTTTCTCTAGGCCCAGGACCCCCCAAATCTCTTCTGGAGCCACAGTCCCCCAAGGGTTCCGGAATATATCTTCCCAAGCCCAGTGGGGGACAAGCGCCCTTTCCCTTCCCTGCCCGGTTGAATGTGGAGACCCGGGGGAGGGGAGAGGGAATCGCAGAGAGAGAGGATGGTAAGTACCTCCTCAGGGCTCTAGTAGGGAAAACAGGACAATTCCGGCAGCCACCACCTCCACCAGTGACAGGGTCAACGCCACTGGCAACAGGACACGCCGGTGTCTGTGTCCTGCACGCCGGGAGGCAGCATGGAAGACCGGAAGGTTGTTTCTGTGGGTTTCTCACTAAGATGCGTGACGACCTCAGTGTGACCGTGGGAAAAGCCAAACTGGGGCCATCGAGAAAGGTCACAAAGGGCAGGAAAGACCTAGGAGCTGCCACTGATCGGAGGAGACGAATGCTGCAGGGGACCCTGAATTGTTCCCTGCAACAGAAGGTGCACAGGAGTGGAAAACGGGTGTTGAAAACGGCACAGTGCTCGTGGCACAGTGCTGGGATGACAGGTGTGGTGGCGCATGCCTGTCATCCCAGCACTCAGGAGGCTGAGGCAGGAGGATTGCCTTGAGTTTGAGGCCAGCCTGGGCTACATTCAAGGGCAACCTGCAAGACAATCTGTCTTAAAAAACCAAAAGAAAAAAAAAATTAAAAAGAAAAAGTGCTGTCTTTCTCAGAGCAACCCTTTATTGGTGAAGGTGCCAGAGAACTGGGCGGTGGGAAATACAGACCCAGGAAGGGAATAATGCCCGAGCCCCCGCATGCTAATGTGCTGAGCCCAAGGTTGCTTCCATATGGGGCGCTGCCCACCTGATCACAATGTCCCTCTCCCCCTCCGCCTCGAGGGGGGCACAGGTCTGCAGCAGGGGGAGCTCCCCGTGTCCTCTGCAGGTCCCATCTCCCTGGAGCCGCAGAGCATGGCCTAACCTCTGAAGGACAGAAGGAGACCACGTGGGCTAGGGTGGGCGCTGGGTCTGGCGGTGCCCTGGTGAGAGACAGGGAAGGACCCGGAAGGAAGGCCCCAGGGAGACGGAGGAGGCTTGGGAAGCTGCCGAGAACTGGGGACTCAGGAGCCAGCAGGAGCTGGCCAAGGTAGGGGGCCCCTGCTGGGGAGGGTCGCTTCCAAGGCCAGGACCCTGCCCACACTCAGACCCTGGGCGTCAGGCACCAGGGCCTGGAGGACACTTTTCTGTCGGTTTAAGTCGCCAACTTTGCGGTCCTCGGGTGTGGCAGCTCCAGAGAGCAGGGACTGTGCTTTCTCAGGCTGGCTCCTGATTAAATAAGGGCCGGCGTGGGCGTCTCCTCTCCCCTGTGGGGTTGCGGGCTTCCTAGAGGTGGGGAGGGGCTCCCGCCTGACTGTGCCCCGGGGCCCTGTCCAGCCCTCCGCACACAATGCGAGCCGTGTGGGGGGCTGCCTGGCCCGGCCTGCCTCACCTGTTTGGGTTGGCGCGGGGCTGCCTACCGGGCGGAGCCGGAGACTTACCGCAGGAGGCACCGCCCGGGCTTCTCCCCGCCCCCCTCCCGCGCACAGCCTGCCTGGGAGCCCGGGCGGGGGGCAGAGCTGGTGGGGTACAGGGGCGGCTCTGATGCCCACCCCAGCCTGACAGCTCCTCTGCCCCCGTGAGCTCTTCTCAAAATGCCAAGTGCGCTGGGAAGGGGGGTGTGGGGTTGCCGTGTCCCCTGCCTGGCTGGGCCCTTGGTGGCCCCTTGGGCCCCAGTCTGTCGGTGCCCACAGAGCTTCGTGTGCTCCACGCCCGGCCCAGGTCCAGGCGCGAGGGCCAGCAGAGCCTCTTCTCAGACAGTGAGTGTGGCCCCATCCCTCAAGCTGCTGCATCTTTACCTTTCGGCTCCCACTGGAGGAGGGGGGGAAAAGAAGGAGGGAGACGAGGGGGGACCCTCCTCAGGGGCCCACGGGGCCGGGATGAGGGGACACGGAGTCTCTCTCGGTCCTGGGCTCCCGGGATTCTGTCCTGTTCCCTGCCAAGGGGAGACAGGCAGGGGGGCCCCGAGGAAGCTGGGTGGGGTCTGCACCCCCGTCCTGCTCCCCATGTCTGTGGATGGGTTTTTTTTCACAGTAGGAACCCCGCCTCCCACTTCAGCCAACAGCATCGTGTGTCCCTCGGCCAAGTCCCTGCTGCTTCCCCGCTGCTGCCGGGGAAGGTGCAGGACGGCGGGTGCGGGGGGACCTTGCTCTGGAAGGAGATTAGGGAGTCTGTCCGGGCAGGTGGAGCCGGGTGGGGCCTGGCTTACTCACATCCTCAGGAGTCCTGGGCACTGCAGATTTGGGGAGCCCCAGGCCTCAAGGCTGTCTCAGAGTTGGTTTCTGAACTCCTAAGCCCCACGGGTGGGGGCGCCCCACTTTGTCTTTTGTGGCAGTCAGGGGTGGGGCTGTGGAGGCTCTGCTACCCTGCTGGGAGCCGCTGATCCCCCAAAGGCATCTGAGCCGCCCTCCAGCGGGCTGTCGGGGCCTGTCGGGGAGGTGGGCCGGCCAGGGCCAGGCAGCCCCAGACACGACCACATTCCTCCCTCTGCCTGCGGGTCCCGGGCTAGGGGCTGGGCTGGCCAGAAGGTTGCTTGGGAAGTAGGGAGCTGAGGCTTTGGTGAGCAAACTTCCAAGCAGGGCCAGCTAGACCCCTGGAGGTGCACCCTGACCCTGTCCACTCTGCCCACAGGCTGGGCACAGACCTGCCGACCCCCAAGGGGCTCAAGTGCAAATGCCCCGCCCGTCCTGCCCCCAGCAGGGCTGCAGGGGGAGGCTGAGAGCAAATCGGGGGCTGGGGGTGAAAGTGCTCTCAGCTGGGCGTGGTGGGGCACACTTGCAATCCCAGCACTTGGGAGGCTGAGGCAGAAGAATCACTGAGAGTTTCAGGCCAGCCTGGGCTACATAGGGAGTTCAAGGCCAGCCAGAAAGACATAGTGAGATCCTTTCTTAAGAAACAAACAAAAAATCCCCCAAACAATAAAAGTCCTCCTGCAGTCCTGTTGCCTGAGCCCTTCTAGGGCTATGTTGGGCCACAGCCCTGGTAGGCAGCCTCTGCCGGACTTGGTCACAAACCCTTGGGCACAGGCCCCAGCGGGCACAGCAGTAGTCTTCACCCCACTGTGCAGATGAGCAAACAGGCTCCGGGCGCCACCAGCAGAGGCTAGCCCCTCAGCCAGCTCCCTGCCCTTCCCCGAGGTCTCTAGCTGTCCCCTTGGGGACCCTTGGGCTTGGCCACACTGGCCAGCCGTGCCATGTCCCTGTTCCCAGAGAGTGGTAAGGAGTCAGGGCCTCCCCGTGGGTGAGGGTGGTCTCAGTGGCCGGCAGCGGGGGAACCCAGGTGCTGGGGAGCCAGCAGGTCACCAGGGTCACCGTGAGAGGCTGTGCTCTGTGAGCTGGCTGGATCCAGTGTGTAGGGTCCCGTGGGGTCCCGCAGCTCCCCGGGCCGATGACGAGGAAAGTGTAGCCTGCGGGCCCGCACCTCCCTGGTGAATCACGCCTGGCGGGACAAGAAAGCCCCAAACACCCCAAACAATGAGTTTCCAGTAAAATATGACAGACGTGAGGAGGCGGGGAAGAGAGGGAGCTGCCTGGGAGTTGGCGCTGGCCCGAGGGTGGTGAAAGCCCAGGGGAATGGAAAATGCCAGGCCCGCCCCCTCCCCAGTGTATAAAACCCCGCGTCCTTCAGCTTCCAGCACGGCTTGGCCTCTCTCTCTCTCTCTGTCTGCCAACCCGACTGCTGTCTCAGCCTCACCTCCCTCCCGGGCACCATGACCACCTGCAGCCGCCAGTTCACCTCCTCCAGCTCCATGAAGGGCTCCTGCGGCATCGGCGGTGGCATCGGAGGCGGCTCCAGCCGCATCTCCTCCGTCCTGGCCCCCAGCGCCTACGGGGGCCTGTCGGTCACCTCCTCCCGCTTCTCCTCCGGGGGAGCCTGCGGGCTGGGGGGTGGCTATGGCGGTGGCTTTAGTAGCAGCAGCAGCTTTGGTGGAGGATACGGTGGTGGCCTTGGGGCTGGCCTTGGCGGTGGCTTTGGTGCTGGCCTAGGTGGTGGCTTTGGTGGTAGCTTTGGCGGTGGCTTCGGCGGTGGCGATGGACTCCTGGTGGGCAGCGAGAAGGTGACCATGCAGAACCTCAACGACCGCCTGGCCTCCTACCTGGACAAGGTGCGGGCCCTGGAGGAGGCCAACGCCGACCTGGAGGTGAAGATCCGAGACTGGTACCAGCGGCAGCGGCCTGCTGAGACCAAAGACTACAGCCCCTACTTCAAGACCATTGAGGACCTGAGGAACAAGGTGGGCAGCAGAGGTGCCACTTGGTCACCCCCCTCTGGGAGCAGCAGATGCCCCGGACCCCTGGCACATCCGGATTTCCAGGCAGGACAGACTACAAGCCCTGATCCCTCTTCCTGGAGTCCTGGATGCCCCCAGTATTTGCTGGGGGAGAAGGCGGTTTCCCCTCCCTTTGTAGCTCAGGTCCTGGGCTCGCACTCCCAGATTCTGGGGGACACCAGCAGTTCCTGCCCCAACATTTGCAGGGGAAGCAGTTGAGGCTTTGGGGGTTCTGTGACCCCCACCCTCCCGCACGGCACAGTAAGCAGCTACCTGCTCTCCAGCACAGGGGAGGAGCGTGGCTGTAACGGGCCGGCGAGACACCTAAACCGCTCATTAGCTCATTAGTCTGGGCTGTGGCTGCCGCCGCCCATGAGCCCTGGCGCTGGCTGGCTGGCCAGGCGGGCGCAGGAAACCCGCAGCTGCAATCAGCGGCAGCCACACCTGCGCCCTGGTAAGCTTGCTCCCTGCTCCACCCCCTCACCCCAGGAGCCCCATGAGCCCCTTGGTGCTGCGCTGCGTGGGGTTAGGGACATGAGATGATTGAGGGTCACCTCAGCCAGGTGCAGGGCTCCGTCTGTCATCTTTTTCTCTGACGCTTCCTCTTTCTAATCCCCGGCGCCAGCTGGGTCTCATCTTTTGGGAAAGTCCCACCTGAGGCCTTGTGCATGGTGGCCCTGAGGAGAAAGTGTGCATGGGGCTGCCCCATGTGAAGGGAGAATCGGAGCTCAGAGCCCACCCAGGGAGCCCCAAGGGGCTCAGAGTCCTGAGAGCGGCTCCAGGTTTTGCAGCAAGCCAGGGACTGGGACCACAGCTGCAGGCTTTGGATCCTAGGGCTTGGACTCTTTGTACCTCCGCAGTATTGGAGCCCTGGCTCAGGGGGTATCTTGGGGCCGTCCCCTAGGCAGGGGACTTGGAGAAGAGCAGGATCCCACAGACCGCTGCAGGCTGCAGTGGTGCTTGGCTACGGATGTCCATTTGATGAAGAGCCTGTGGCCTTTCTCTTCTGCAGATCCTCACGGCTACTGTGGACAATGCCAACGTCCTCCTGCAGATCGACAATGCCCGCCTGGCCGCGGATGACTTCCGTACCAAGTGAGTTTCGGCAGGGGCTCAGTACACCCAGGATTCCCAGGGTGGGGCGTTTTTGGACTCTTTTCCAAACAGAGCTGACCCGTGCCAGGAACACCCCTTGGGGTGCTTGTAAAATGTAAGACTCCTGGGCTCCGCCCTTGGAGTTATGGTTCAGTTATTTTTAAAAGGTTACCTGGGTGATTCTGATCCACAGCCAGGTTTGGGAAGCACCGCTTAGGGAGAGGCTCTGCCTGTCTCCCACCCCAAGTGCAGTTCATGATCATATTTGGAGGCCTGGAGCCTCATTGGTCAGCTGAAGCTGGAAGCACCTCCCTCCCCGAGTTCTGCGGCATGATGAGTCGCCTTGTTCCTGGGGTGCCAGGAATGCTGTCATCTGCGTGATCAATGGGCACTATGTCCACAAACTGCCCTCTGGGTGCCAGCTCCGGGAAGAAGCTGCAGGTGAAGGGAACAGGGCTTCCTGTGTGGACAGGAAGGGCCTCTCATTCTTACGCTGGGGTCATTCCAGGTACGAGACGGAGCTGAACCTGCGCATGAGCGTGGAGGCCGACATCAACGGGCTGCGCAGGGTGCTGGACGAGCTGACCCTGTCCAGGGCCGACCTGGAGATGCAGATCGAGAGCCTGAAGGAGGAGCTGGCCTACCTGAAGAAGAATCACGAGGAGGTGGGCACTAAAAGGAAAGGACAGTTAAAAGAATGGCCAGGAGAGCAGAGACAGGACGGGTACGGGGAGGCGGCGTTCCGGCCAGGGCGCCTCACTGTGGACCTTTCCTCCCCGGCTGTGTAGGAGATGCTGTCCCTGCGCGGCCAGGTGAGCGGCGACGTCAACGTGGAGATGGACGCGGCCCCCGGCGTGGACCTGAGCCGCATCCTGAACGAGATGCGCGACCAGTACGAGAAGATGGCGGAGAAGAACCGCAGGGAGGCCGAGGAGTGGTTCTTCAGCAAGGTGGGTGCCGCTGGCAGAGGAAGGGACCTGGGGGCCCTGCCTTTGGGGCCCGCTGGTGTGAATGGGGTTCCTATTCTGTGCAGACCGAGGAGCTGAACCGCGAGGTGGCCACGAACACCGAGGCCCTGCAGAGCGGCAAGAGCGAGATCTCCGAGCTGCGCCGCTCCGTGCAGAACCTGGAGATCGAGCTGCAGTCCCAGCTCAGCATGGTAGGCACGAGGCTGTGCACAGGGTGGGCCCGGGGTTGACAGAGAGGGTACGGCCGCCCCCAGGGATCCCAGGTCTTCTTTACCTCCCTTACAGAAAGCATCCTTGGAGAACAGCCTGGAGGAGACCAAGGGCCGCTACTGCATGCAGCTGTCGCAGATCCAGGAAATGATCGGCAGCGTGGAGGAGCAGCTGGCACAGCTGCGCTGCGAGATGGAGCAGCAGAACCAGGAGTACAAGATCCTGCTGGACGTGAAGACGCGGCTGGAGCAGGAGATCGCCACCTACCGCCGCCTGCTGGAGGGCGAGGACGCCCAGTGAGTGCCCGGCCCTGCCCTCTCCAGCGGCTCGTCTTCTCTGCCTGCCCTCCAGGCGTCTAACTGTCCTGCCCCTGTCTCTCTTCGCAGCCTCTCCTCAGCCCAGTTTTCCTCTGGCTCCCAGTCGTCCAGAGATGGTAAGCTGTTCTTTCTCCTTGGTGTGGGTCTGGACACCCCAGGCCCCCAGCAGGTCTAGAGCTTGGGTTAGGAACTTCCAGCAGTTGAGTTATAGGGTGCTCACCCAGTATCTCTTATGAACCTCCTCGGGTAGCAGAAGCCCTGACCTCACCCTCCTTGGGGCTAGGACGCCCGTCTGTGCTTCTCTCACCCGTGTAGACGCCATGGTCATGGCGGTCAGCACCACGGACAGCGGCCGCGACTCTTAGGCCGGGACCCAGCAGTGCACTGGGGTCATTTGGATGGAACCGGCAGAGTCTGAGCTCTTAGGAAGCTCCAGTCTGAAGACACAGACTGTCCCTGACCTTAGAGCTGTCGTCTGAAGTGCGATGGCCTCTGTGCTGGGTAACAGCATTGCAAGGAGTGGCAATCCGGGGAGAGGGCAGTAAGGCCAGTTCATCGAGGCCTCAACTTCTCGGCCTGTCTGCTCACGATTCCCCACTGCCTGCAGCCTCAAGCACGCCCTCTCTCCCTCCTCCCCAGTGACCTCCTCCAGCCGCCAGATCCGCACCAAGGTGGTGGACGTGCACGACGGGAAGGTGGTGTCCTCCCACGAGCAGGTCCTGCGCACCAAGAACTAGGGCTGCTCGGCACTGCGCAAGCCCAGGAGGTGCCCTGTGTGGGCCCAGACCTCGCTGCAAGATGCCCTGTCCTGCCTCCCAAACACTTCAGGCCCTGCATTACCCTTGCCCCCTCCTGGCAATCAATAAAGCTTCTTTAGCTGAGTTGCACAACACCTGTGTCTGCCCTCATTGTCTGAGCGGTGTGGGAAGCAGGTGGGCAGCATTGCTCTGCGCCTCATCACAGCTGGGCTGTGGCCCCTGGGACGGGGTGAAAGGGCCTGCGGGCGGGCTGGGCTTTGGTCCCAGGACAGTTTCACCATCTCAGAAGACAGGCAGATGTGGGTCCCGGGTCACGGGCGGACTCTCGCCAAGCTCACAGGGACGTTCACTCATTCACCTGCCCATCCACTCACCAGGCACCCAGCAGCTCTGGAGCCAGGTGCTAGGTGAAGGATTCTTAGCATCTTAGGGGATCAGGGATCCCTTTGAGAAGAGACTGGAAACTATAGATTTCTTTCTTTCACCCCATCGCTGAATAAGCATCCACATTTGTGTACAATTAATGGGGTTCATGGGTCCCCTAGGTCTCCTCAGGGTGATCCATGAACTCAAGGTTGGAATTCGAACTCACGCTCCGCAGCTGTCTTGGCTCCCTGGACTGGCACCAGCCCCGCCCACACCGAGCTGCCCTAGGGCGCTCTGGCTGCAGCCTCCAAGCCCACTGGTGGTGGTATGTGGGAGGGAGTGACAGCAGCAGCTGCTTGTGAGCGTCCACGGAGGAGCTGTGCTGGTGACACCGTGCATTCCCCAGGAGGGCCTGACTGCTTTCCAGCTCCGGCTCTGTTCTGCATTAGCTCTCTGCCTTGGTGGGCCTGAGCCTCCGTTCCCCCGCTTGTACAGAAGAGATGATGAATCCTGCCTCTTGGGGCTGGTAGAAGAATCCGATGAGCAAAGGCACCCTAAGAGCCAGGACTCTGGAGCCTCCCTGTGGTGGAGGAGGGTCTTCGGGTTCCTTGGCGGGGCTGGAAAAGCAGTGGGAAGGGGAGGAGCCTAGAGGCATGAGTGGCGGAGATTCCCGGGGTGGGCGGGGCTCAGTGCCCCAGCGGGGAAAGAGGGCACTGGCCCTGTGTCTGTCTCAGCTGCTCAATGTTTCGGCCCTGTGGAGGCGGGACTGGAAACAGACCCTGGGCTTTGGAGGCAGACACCTAGCACTGGAGTCCGGGGTCCTCGGCCCAGGAGCCTGGAAGAGTTTGGGCGAGATATTGCATCCACATCCCTTCTCACCCAGTGGGGGACAGGACCTTCACTACCCAAGGCTAAAAGAGGGTGAAATGATCTCCCAGAGGCAACGAGTTTGACACCAAGCCTGGTACACAGGGCTCTGTACATGGTCGCACGAGGGCGTCATTAGCAAAAGAAATGCAGTGACGTTGCTTCTCTGTCCCTCGCCGACACCTCTGGAACGCTGGGGTGTCTCCTCCATGCGCACTGGCCACGGGAAAGGCGGGGCTGGGTGCTGGAGGGGGGACTCGGGGAGGCACAGGTCTGAGGCTGCTTCCTCCCGGACTGGGAAAGGATGGCCCAGGTGGGGCAGGACCCAGGGAAGAGGGCTCGTGTCGCCCCTGTGGATGCCGGGCCCTGGGGACCGGGGTCCCAGCTGGGCTGTGAGCCTCCTGCTCCAGCAGGGGGTGGCCTGGAATCTGGGCAGCAGGGCACATTTGAAGGGGCCACACGGTCCCAGACAGAGAGAAAAACCTAGCAAGAGTCACAGGGGGACGCAGCCCGGAATGCGCTGTGTTGCCTGGGAATCCCATCATTCTGCCCTGGACCCGGTGCCGCACGCCACTTCCACCAGAGGAGTTCTGGGCAGGGAGACAGGAGGCTCCTAGCTGGGGAGCAATGGCACGCACCCCCTCGCTGCTGCGTTCCCTGCCACGCCGTTGGGGGAACACGGGGTGAAGCCGCAGCAGGGGCTGCCAGGCCGGAAGCAGGTCCGCACTGGAGCGGAGGAAGTCCCACAGTGGGCATGGAGGCCCCGGAACCGGACGGCGGCCCCAGCGTCTGGCGCGGACGCCCCTGTCCTCTGGAGTCCCCTCCACCACACCCCAGTGGGAAGGGCTGAGCTGACATTTGAGCGCTGCCAACAACCAGTGCTCTGGTCCCCAGGGCCTGAGGCCACCCCACCCAAGACCCGACAGCCCCTCCACGGAAACAAGAGCTGGGAAAAGCGACTCGGTAGCACCGTCTAGTGGACGCAGGAGGGGTTGCCTCTCGGAGTCCCGGGGCTCCGCCTCCTTCCAGTACAGGCGGGGTCTCCACCCTCAGAGCGCAGACCGTGGGGCCACCGGGAAGCCTCCTCTCTAGGGTTCTGAGCCGCTCCAGTTCACCCCGACTGCAAGGGGCCCAGCCCAGCCCAGAGGTTCCCGGAGGGAAAGAGCTACGACCCTCCATCTTGTGTCCTCCATAGCTCCCACTGTCCCAGGTCCCACAGACTCATAGGGAACCCAGGTCGCCAAGACGGTCGGAGAGGAAGTCAGGGAGCGGACCCCGCGCCACTGGCAGCCAGGGCAACGTCCCGCTGTGTGCTGGGCAAAACCACGCAGCCTCACAGCAATCCCAGGAGAGCAAAAGCGACTCTCTCTTCCAGGATCTTTTGCGCGGCGGATCCAATCCTCTGCCCTTTGGCCACGCTGGGCCTCTGCCCATGTCGGGAGTTGCCGCCTCCCTCGAAGAGCATTTGCGTGTGATTTTGTCCGTTCCCGGGGCTCTCTCCTCCTGCTCCTTCTTCACAGGAGAGTCTCTCAGAGAGACCGGCCCGGCCCGTCAGGGCACGTTCCCTGCCCCACGTCCCTGCTTCCCTCCCACAGCACACCTCAGCTACCGGTCGCGCCTATCTGGAGATCTGTTTTACTTCACAGAGGGTCAGGCCTCCTCACCCCTTAGTCCTCCACTCCGGGGCAATGCCTGGCTCACGGCAGGTGCTCGGAAAGGGGTGGATCTAGACGCACGGTGAGAGACAGGAGTGGGAGGGGAAGCCGCTTCCCCCGAATGCAGTGGCAGAACCTTGTTTTGGGACTCGGCCCCCTGGGCCTGGCGGTGTCTGCTCAGCGGGGTGGTGACGGGTGACTACAGAGTGAGAAAGAATCGGCACTGACAGACAGATGCGGGCACCTCCAGCCCGGCGCCAGCGGGCAGCGTGCACAGCCAGGGCGGCTGCAGAGAGAGGAGCGTGACTCAGCCTGCTCTCCCTCCCAGCGGCTACCTGCTGACTCAGGGTCCTCCCTGGCCCTGCCTGGCCTCAGTGGCAGACAGCAGTGGGGAGTGGGCAGCCAGTCCAGGCAAGGAGCGGGGTGGTCCCCGTCATCTCCCTGAAGCCCCACGCCCTCCACGGAGCGCCGGCCTCTCCCCTTTGGGGCACCGTGCAGAGGGTTCGGTGTCTGGCTCCCTCCCGGCGCCCCATCTGCCTCTGCGACCCGTCTCCTGACCCGTGAGCCACGGAGGTGCTGGCTCATGGCCGCAGACAGTGGCACTCATCTTGCTGGGCCGCCACGCCAGGTGCCGGGCGACACGGGCTCCACTTGTCGGACCCTGAGCCCCGAGAAGGTGGCAGCATGAGCCTCGTCATACAGCCAAGAAAAGGTCACTCCCCCAGGCCAGGGCCAGCGGCCTCTGCCTCCCTGGCCCACTTGCCCCACGCGGTTCCTCCCGTCAAGCAGGCGCCCGGAGGTGGGAAAGGTGGCGCCCAGCAGCAGGCGCCGTGCGCCTCAGGTGCGGACTGTCACAGCTGTCCAGACGGCCAGATGTGGGGAGGAAGGCAGATGTGCGGTGGACACTCACGCGGGCCACAGCCAGACACTCGTCCAGGGGCCCCTCCGCCCACCTGTGTTGTATGTGGCCCTGGTGACTCACCAGGGAAAGTCTTCCCACGGGGAAGCTGAGGCTGAGGCCAAGGGGTGGGCTGGGCGGGGTCGGCAGGCCTCCAGCCCCATCCAATGGGGAACAGCTGCTTTCCCCACAGCTCTGTCCCCAGAGTTCCCAAGGAGGACCAGACGGCCAGGGCAGGGGCTCGGGAAGGACCAGCGGGAAGCTGGCTGCGGGGCTGCGGTCGGCCCTTCACTCTCAAAGCCGGGGAGCTGCTGGGACTCCTGATCCAATCCGGGTGGGGACTCCTAGGTTCCCAGGTGGCCTGGCGAGGGCTGGGAGGGGCCAGGCGTGCGGGGTCCTCTGGGCACCTTCGGGGCTGCTCTGGACCGGGGAGGCTTCTGGCAGGGCTGGGGCGGCCTGGGACGAGGCGGTTGGGGTGAGGGTGAAGGCAGGGCTGGTGGATTTGGCATTGGGGCCAGAGACGGGCATCACTGGCCAGACCTGGCTGGGCAGGGGTGCCCTGCTTCGAGCTGGGGTCACCCCAGCAAGTCTCAGTATTGTTGGGTCCCCCCACCCAGAATGCACAGCGTGGTGCGGCTGGCACCCCCACCTTCACCAGCCTCTCCCCTGCCAGCTCAGGGCTGAGGGCCCCCGTCTCATCCCAGCTGGAGCTGGGGCCTCAGTGTGAGCCGTGGAAGCAGGCGGAAGGGACCATGACATGCGTCCTGGCAGCTTGGGGTCTGCAAGACCCTGGGCAAAGCTTCAGCACCTCAAGAACCCGGAGGGAGAGGGATCAGCGTGCTCCCCCGCAAACCCCAGGACTGGGAGACTCCTGTGTGCTGGCCACAAATGCCCTCAGTACCCTCTGTTCTGTTCTGCCTACTCTCAGTTCTATGGTTTAATTACCATCTGATACCATCCATTTAAATATTTAACATATTTTGGAAAAGTAGCTCGCCTTTTACTTCAACAAACACATTTATAAAGGAAATCCTATCCTACTACCAAAAAGAACAGAACAGAAAAAAAAAAAAAAAAAAAGAACAATCAGAATCATTTGCCCAGCTGGGCGTGATAGGGCACGCCTGTCATCAAAGCACTCAGAAGGCACAGCCAGAGGATCAGCATGCGCTTGAGGCCAGCCTGCGCTCCACAGTGAGTTCAAGGCCAGCCTGTACGACACAGTGGGACCCTGCCTCAGAACATAAGAGGAATCATTTGCCCACGATGGAAGGAAATGAAGTTGGGAGTAGTTAGGATTTAACTCCTAACTGGAGAACTAGAGGCCGCTGTTCCCAAAGGTCCCGGCTCTGGTTTTTTGGGCAGGATGACTGACAGGTGTAACGCTTCCCCCGGGAACGAGAGCCTTGAGAGCAAAAGGAAACGCTCTTCTCCCCTTGTCTGAGCACTGCAGTCAAACACAGTCCCTGCACCATCCTAGAGCACCCCCGGAAATGCTGGTCCTTTTCAGGCCCCAGAGCAGAGGTAGCGGCCCCTTCCAGGCCCTGCCGACCATCCTGGGCTCTCTCTCCTCCCTGAGCAGCTTTCCTGAAGCTCATCTGTGTCGGGGTCTTGGCGGGACCAGGCCTGGAGCTGTGTAGGAAGAGCAGGTGCAGCGGGAAGCCTCGGAGACACAGCGTGAGAGTCCTAGGTGGGCAAAGCGGGAACCCAGAGGGGGAGCTCGGGAGGGCTTCGTGGAGCAGGCAATGGAGAGGCTGCCAAGGGCCAGCAGGAGCCTTCTGCACAGGGAGGACGTGGAGGGACATTTCTGTCGGAGGAACTGCATGTGTGGAGCATTGTGAAGGATGAAGGGGCTTGGGGGCATTCGCTGGGGAAACAGGAAAAGAGGGGCAGGAATAGAAAGATTCATTTAAAAGCATCACACTAGCCAGGCTTGGTGGTGCACGCCTGTCATCCCAGCACTCGGGAGGCTGAGGCAGGAGGACCATTGCAAACTGGAGACCAGCCTGCGCTACAAAGTGAGCTCAAGGCCAGCCTGAACTGCATAGCGAGACCCTGTCTCAAAAAGACACAAAAAAGTATCATACCACAGTTCCTATGCACCCTTCCTCCCTTCCTTCCTCCTTTCCTTTCTCTGTGCAGCGCTGGGGATGGAACCCTGGACCTTTCTCATGCTGGCTGAGCGCCTGCCTCCGAGTGACACTCCCAGCCTTTTAAACTTTTTATTGTGAGACAGGGTCTCACTAAGTTGCCCAGGCTGGTGTGGAGCTTTTGATCCTGCCTCAGCCTCCCAAGTAGCTGGTGTTATGTGTGCGCCACCCTGGCCAAGCAGTCCGATACCTCCTGAGTGTTTCTCCCCCATCCCCTCCGGGGAGACGAGCAGATCATTCAGGTCGTTCTCCCAAGGAGGGAACGGAGACTTGGTGAGCTCAGGGAGCTTAGCGCAGTGCGTGGCCAGTGAGCGCGGGGCTGGGGTGGAGCGCGGTGTGTGGTGCACACGCGGCCATGTTTACCACTCTTCCCTGGCCTTGGTGACTGGGATACGCGTTTGGGTGTCTGCCAGGAGCCAGGGGCAGTTTCCCATCTGTACCGTGTCCCCAGGCTCCGTCCAGGACAGACACTCAGCTATGGTCCACCCTGTCCTGCTCTAGCACTGCAGAAGGCCGGGGCAGCGAGGCCACGGCGGCCCCCTCACAGGTCACAGCAGGCAATGGCCACACGTCACTTACAGGGTCCACTGTGTCCTCCAGGTCCCCCGCATGGACCTGCGCTGTGCACTGGGGGGTGGCTGCTTGTCCCTCTCTCCGTCCTCGGGGATGACCGCCTCTCCCAGCACCCTGGCATCTCCTAGGGGCACACACAGTCTCTGGTCTCCTCTCAGCCTGGGGTTCGGGGAACAAGGACGGGGCTTCTCGTTAAAGGGGTCTTCAGGGCATGATCGGGCTCCTGCTCCTGCTGGCAGCGTTGGTAGGTGGAGGCTGTGCCCACCCCCAGCCTCCTTGTCCCTGTGCCCAGCTCCGCTCACACCAGGGGGTATGGGGTGGGTATGGGGACGGCTGCAGACAGTGGTCGTCACCCACGGGGGAGGCAGCTCTATCCCCGAAGTCTGTTCCAGAGGCCTAAGCCTCCGACCGTGGGGCTCGGCCTTGCAGCAGGCTAGGATCTCCAGGATGTAGGTCACCCCCTTGGCGGCAGGTGATTTACGGTGCCCTTGACAGCCTAATGTCCTCCAATTATCCCCACACAATGGAGAGGGGCTGGGCTGCCCCTGGGCAGCCACCAAAGGGACGCGGAGCCCCGGGCACCTGGCCTCCAATCCCAGGCCTCCTGGAGTCTGAGGGGGGTGCTGGCATGGTCGGAGGAGGGCACACCCGGGCGTGCCACCCCGGCCGGGGGTATAAGAGCGCGGCCGGGGACAGCTCGGCAGCAGCAGCACCTCTGGGACAGCTTCCCACGGAGCCAGCGGCAGCACAGCAGCCTCACCATGACTTACAGACAGTTCTCGTCCTGGAGCCGCAGCAGCTGCGGGGGCGGCGGGGGCGGCGGGGGCGGCCTGCGCTCTTCCTTCAGCCGCTTCAGCAACTCCGGGGCCGGGGGCGGGGGCCGCTTCAGCTCTGCTAGTGGCTTCGGCGCCTGCGGCGGGGGAGGGGGCGGCTCCCTCTATGGTGGAGGAGCCGGAGGGGGCTTCAGTGCCGGGAGCCTGGGTGGGGGCTTCGGGGCCGGTGGCGGTGGTTTCGGAGGTGGCATCGGAGGAGGCTTCGGCGGCGCTGGGGGCTTTGGAGGAGGCCCCGGCGGGGCCGGTGGTGGCATCCTGGGCACGGACGAGAAGACCACCATGCAGAACCTCAACCACCGTCTGGCTTCGTACTTGGACAACGTGCAGCGGCTGGAGCAAGAAAACTACGAGCTGGAGAGGAAGATTCAGGAGTGGTACGACACGCAGGGGCCCAAGTTCCTCCGGAAGGACTATTCCCCGTACTACGACTCCATCGAGGACCTCCAGAGACAGGTAGACCTGGCTCTCTCCCTCTCTCTCCCTGCTCTCTCTGTCTCGGTCTCTGTCCCTCTCTCTCTGCCTGTCTCATCTTCCAAGTAGGTGAAGCTAGGCTGGAGGTTTAGCCCGGATAGCCGGGGATGCTGCCTGCTGGAGACCTGGAGCACTGTCAGGAGTGCACTGGTCTTCGGCTCTCAGGCCTGGGATGGGGACCCCCGGCTGCACTCTGGCTTTCACCCCACGTGCACAGCTTCCAGAGTCTGGGAAGGGCAGGAAGGAGGCCTCATGAACGCGGGCAAGACTGGTTGTGGAGCCGCCTTTTGGCCTGGTCTCAGGTCAAGCCTGTCTTTGCCTACTACTCTGGGGCGCCTAGAGGGGACTGCTGTGATCTTTTCAGGTTCTTCAGACCCAGATATCCATGCTGGTCGTTCAAGTGATGAAGAGGATCTTGAGCTCTGGGGATAGACTCCATATGTCTATCAACCATCCACCCATCCACCCACCCACCAACCCATCCACCCACCTACCCATCCACCCACCCATCCACCCATCCACCCACCCA